GTCTTGGTGGGCAATACTAGTCATCACACCGTGACTAGCACACATATGTTGTGCTAATGTTCCAAGGGGTCTAATGAGTATCACTTAGGCTTTTCTTTCCTTATAACTGATTTTAAAGTATAAAAATTCATATTTTTATTACTTTATGCATCATGTTTTCAAAAATCCATTTGGAATCTATTTGCTTCCCTACTTTAGGCCATAAATGAGGTCAAATTTTTTAAAAGCTTTTGTAAAACTTGCATATAGTGACATCTCTCAAAATCCTTGAATCCTTAGAACAAGGTCAAAGACAGCGACCCCATCAAAACATATGCCAGCCCACTGACATAACCCTACACTCACTTAGATGTTGTGTTAGGACATTACGTTAGATGGTGTGCTATGCTAAGAACTATGATGTTATATAGTTTTTTTTTATGTCCCGACTATAGTTCGCCGTTGGTTTTGATGCCTTAGCCAAACATCACCTTTTATGCTTTTTGGTGTGCTTGTATGTTTACCATTGTGATATGCATGGAAGTATATTTAGTATTGTAAGAAGCCATGCCTAAAATACACACTGCATGTGGAACATGAATGAGCAATGTAATGATTATGATTAACCCTTTTCTGCAGGCGCTTCTTAGCTCCTCCTGCCAGGCATGACTCATATGTATTGTATGTTTTTAGCTTTGCAACTAACATTGTTTCTATGCAGGTTGAGTCATTTTTTCTCTTTTTTACTATGTAATCCTAAAGTCTTAGGAGAGTCTTGTATTAAAATTAAGATACAGGCACGAGTTCTGAGATGTCAAGCGGACTGAATAGTGTGACAGAGACCAAGAGCAACGAGCTCGTGTACCGTACCTTAATTTTAAATCTCATTTATGTATAGAGTTAGGAAAAAACATGCACTTAAGCTGTGTCTGACCGACTTCTTCTTTTCTAGGATATATTGCCGACCCATTGACCTGGGTCTTTTATTATTTTTGACTTGTTTATTGTGTTTCTTGTATGTTTGCGTGCTTGAATTATTTTCTCTTATTTATTTCTAGTTTACCTGGGATGTCATAAAGATTTTATTCTAGGTCATTAAGGACGTTAAAGTTATCAAAATTTTATGATTAATATTATCAAAATTTACAAAAACATGCTTTTACTTTCCTGTGTGATCTTTGAGCCAGATTTTAAAACGGGTTGCGTAGCATGACTCTCACTCAAGTCAAAATTAATAGGGCCTTTGATCACGCGGCAATTTGTGTAGCTTAATAATAATGATGCAATGCAACCCAAAATATAATGTAATTTTAATGAAAATAGTTTATCTTTAAAATCCTCTTTTAAAATTCTTTTAAAATTTCAATTCCCGTTAAATTTCAATTCCCGTTTACATATAACGTAAGTATACATATCGTTCAAGTAATATAGGGCTTTAATGGAGTCCTAAATATCGATCTCACGGGGAAGCTGAAAATATATATAAGCTAGCTAATTATATTATATTATAAAATAAAAATAAAAATAAAAACAAAGTAAAGTGCGAAGTTTGAAATTAAACTACTTAAGTGAAATGCTTCTAAATATGCAAATGCATTAATATAACAAGTAAATTAAACTAGATGCTAAACTTTCAAAAGTAAATTACTGAAATAAAATAAAGGTTTTTGTGGATGAAAAGTTCAAGTATGGGAAAACATCATTCCCCTTTACAATGAAAATATGACTTGTGAAGAAATTGAAATCATTTGAAAAATATATTTAAAAAATATTTTGTGCTAAATATGAGCAATTCTATTCTCTACTCACTTTCGAACGCTATAAAGAACATTGACTAATCCAAAGTTTGGTCCCTAATTCCGTGGTTAAGCTGAGAGGAAGCCGACTGTCACTCCAGAACTCCCACTACTCCTTCCCCTGAGGGCTAACATGCTCGCATTAGTTTCTAATCAATTGAACTAAATTGGGGATTCTAATTTGTCACCTTAAAATCTTCTAATTTTACATCCAACAAAATATATTTTCCTATTTATTTGCACCCAATCCCATGGATGAAATACTCTCCTATGAAATCAAATGTGATTCTCTCTTTGTTGTAGAAATCATATCCCCTTTTCAGAACATATAATTCTCAACGTATTTTAATAATTCAATTGGCCAGATCGAAAAGTTAATGAAGATCGGAGTTCAAATCATCACAAATTATTGACATTTAAAATCGTAGAAAATAAAATCAATTATTCACAAAATCATTTCTTCAAAGTAGGGTGAAGGATAAAGAAGACTACTTAAAATTTATGAGAAGGATACAATAAAACACAGATTATATAAATAAAAATAAGTTTACAAACAATAGAAATGAAAAGTACAACTTAACTCACAATTCTTCCCAAGCAAATCCTTAGAAGTTCTCTCCAAGTCTTTCCCTCTTTACAATCTATCTCAATTCTCTCTTAGAAATATAATGAGGAAGAAATCTCTCACATTCCCTCTCCTTTTACAACCCTAGAAGAAAATCTCATTTTTCTCTCTCTAACTCACACATATCCCCTCTCTCTAACTTTTTTGTCCCCTTTTCAATCCCCTTCAGAAGTTTCATTTTGTTGGCTGCCTCTCCTCTCTGAAAAGAGTCTTTCTCTCCAAAATTCAAAAGTCAAAACTTTGAATTTCAAAAGATGTGTCTTTAGAGTCAAATCACTTCAAATTGAAACCTTCCAAAGTTTCTACATGCATTGAATCACTCAATGGGGTGCTTAGATCAAGTGTCACTTTGAAAATTTGTTTCGAACTGCCTTAATTTGAAAATATCGCTCTTGGCGCATCATGCACTAGCACTCTGGATTTTGGCACATCAATCGTCAAAACCCAAATTTGACTATTTTTGCTCCAAAATTTGCTCTTTTTGTCATTTTTGCTCTAAATGCCTAAAAATTGTATACCTGCAAAAAAAACACAAAATGTATACCTGCAAAAAAAACACAACACAAAAAATACATTTTTTTAAAGTGCAATATCAACAAAAATAGACATAAAAGGGTACTTAAAACAGTATATTATTTTTGTGGATCAGCCTCCACATCATAACTTATTGGATAACTGCATCGTTTGCATGTCCTGATGATTAGTCCCCATATTTTTTGAACCCGATTGGCTCAACATAGATTTTTATATAGATAGTTGTCTTGTGAGCATAGGTGAAGACAATCTCTACCTTTTAGTGATTACTCCTACGTTCCTTTGACTACTCTTGTTGAGCCTTGAATTTTTTTTTGTTATTTATTGTAGATGTATTTAAGTTTATTTTTTATTGAAATAATATTAATCAAAAAATTAAATTAATATCTCTTGTTTAATTAATGCCAGTCATTATTAATAATATAAGGTTTATCAAAATTTATAAAAGCAAAAAAATATTAAACTTATGCAAATTCCTGAAACCCTTAGCCCTCAGGACAGTTTGGATACATGTGTGATTTAACTTAATTAGGATTTATTATTAAATCCTATAAATCTTGATTTAATAAGTCTAGATATTTTAAAATCTTATAAATTATTTTTTATGAGAGATGTTAAATTTGATTAACTCCTAAATAATTATTTGACAATTTAATTTCCTATTCGTACATCAAAATAGGAATTTCCTTATCCACAAGAAAGCTCAAATACTAAGTGGGCCTCATGGGGCTAATAAATTGAGTTCATTTGACTTTATATTTAATGATCTAGTTCTAACTAGGCCAATCATACTCACCAGCCGTAATTTTTTGAGGGGACAAGCTACGAGGTTTTTTCCATCCCAGAAGGACCTAAGGAGCATCTCTGAAGCTTGTCAGCATTCGTGCAAGTTCTACCGACTAGTCACCAATCTTAAGCTTTCAAACGAGCTCCTCCGTTGGCGTTCACACGTATTTCTCGTATTCTTTTACTAAGCTTGCCCGTGCCAATAAAATCTTTCTATTGAGGTCGCTAATATTTATGTGGCTACATCACCGAGCTTGATGGATATTTCTCTGAACCAGAAAGAAGATAACTTTGTTCTATCATCAAGCATGCGTTCATTTATTAGCCGCCTAACATCCATGCTAAGGACCTTATCAACGATAAGTCTACTTAGATTCCGTACAATACAACATATAATGTAGCATTTGGTGTATAAATAGGGGTTAAAGTGGGAGAAATAGGGGCTCTCACTCTCACAGTCTCTCTCTCTCTCTTACCAAGTTTTTCCTTCCTATATCCTAACCAAGGTTGAAGTAGAGGGACTCTCTAAAAAATTATTCAATTCCTTTCCACCTCATTTGAAAGGTCTCTTTCGGATTATATGGGTTCATGAACTATAGATGATCATATGTGCTAAAGGGATTCAATAGTATTTAAGTAAATAAATTAAAATATAAATATAAATATAATATTATATACAAATAATATAATAATAAAAATATTATTAAATTAAATTTAAATTTATTTTAGTAATGTCAATAAAACTTTAATGATTTACTAAAATAATTAATCATTAATAATAATTTATTGAGCTAGTTTTCATAAGGTAATAATTTTTGTACTAATTAATTATTGATTAGTTATTCATCAAATCAATCAATATTAATAAAAAATATAAATTAATTTAAAATTTAATATGTAATTTAATTTTTTTCTAATTATAAAATAACCATAATAAATTTATATAGTCATAATTAGCTTGAAAATATAATTACTAAATGCTAATTATTAATCAATTAAACAGCTTATAGGCTTGTCAATTCGGGTCCATGGGTTGGGTTTGGGTCCGACTTGAAAATGACTCGATCCAAATAGGGTTAACTGAACCCAACTTGAATAATAAACATTTCAAAAATTAAGATCCAAAATTGACCCAAAATTGAGCTTGACTCGCTAGCCCGAACCTGACCAAAAATTTCATTATTCGAGTAATATTTGAATTTTTAGATTTAACTTGAATTTACCCAAATAATAAAATGATCAAACCAGAATCCCTCTCTAAAAATATTGAGGGGGTAGGACCCCTAGGCATTTACATAGACATGGTTTAGGGTTTATGAAGTAATCCCAGAACATACCATCTCTATCCCCTTCTCCATAAAAAAATATCAGGAACCCTAAACCCTAAAAAAATATGCATTGAAAGTTTACGAAGGAAGTGGCACTTGACAAATGAGCTCCACCGGCGAAGATCACTGTACTTCCGAATATTACGATAATATCTCCTCCAGGGTTCGGCCGAACGCACCGGCTACCACCCCTTCCTCCTCCCGCGGTACAGGAGCGGCTGGAGCTATCTGGCAAGCAAACAACGGCATCGCGACGTACGAAGAGCTTCGAAACTCCCGTATATCTCCACTTTCCCCTCCGCTCATACCCGACAAACACTCGTAATTCTTTTACTTTCTTCTTAAAGTTGTAATTTTTGCTGTTTGGCAGGATTTAGGTTAAATACTACTTAAATCCTGCCACGAAACTGCCCCTTAACCACACGGGACCAGCGGTGTGTGGAGTAATACGTTGAATCCGCCGCCGAACTACGATTTGCAGTGAAATTAAGGTCAAACGAAACGTAGGAAAAGCGTAGGTTTTAATTTGTTCTGTAGACCATCATCCCCTTAGCGGCGATGGGCGGCAAGGGCCGACGGCGGCGTGAGAAGAATTACTTGGCTGCTCATGGCGGAGACAAGCGCCTGCCACCTCCGCCTAATGTAAAAGACCTCGAAGCCCTTCCCTCCAAACTTCGCAAGATCATAGAGCTCAAGAACTCTTCTGCGGCAAAATATGGTGCTTTTCTGTCTATAATGGGCTATTGTCTCTCTTATATAATAAATTTGATTTTTCTGATAATGTTGGTGCTGTTTTGTTTTTTTTTGATTTCAGGTGATGCGAAAAATTCTGCCGAAATTGGACAAGGGAAGAGAAAGGATGAATCATTCGACAGAAAGGTAAATAAAGTTATGGTTTTTTTGGGAGTTTTTGTTGTTTCAGTTGTAAAATTTGTCTAGCAATGAATTCAGTCGTCTATGATTGCTTGGCACTTCTCGGTGGTTTTATTGATATTTCAACAGTTTTTAAGGCATTCTATGATTCGTGTGAGACTTTAGTAGCAGTTATTGTCCATCAAACTCGTAAATTTACCAACAAGGCATTCATGGAATTGTCAAATTGGGTTCGCGGGCCGGGTTCAGATCTAACCCTAAATTTACTAGACCCGAAAGTGCTTGACTTGAATCTGGCTCAAATATTAAACGGGTTAGAAATTCTAAGCCTAACACGACTCGCCTTCAACCTACTGAACTGAATCTGACTTGTATAATACGACTAGAATAAGGCATAACATCTATTCAGGTCTATTTCGAGTCAATCTCATATCAACCTCGGGTTGACAGGTCGATTTCGAACCAATTTTGGGCTAGCAGTTCAACCCAAATTCTACCCAAAAAATTAAATAAGTTAGAATTCCTAATAACCCAAAATCTACCTAGAAATTATTTAGATAAACCCAAGCCCATATTTTTTGAGTTGGTTTCGAGTCTGACATGTCGAGACAATTTTTGACACCCCCAGAGGCATGCATGGAAAGGTTGAAAGGGCCTTAACTTCAACCTCATGAAGAACACTAATTTATGCTTTTATGGACATATTACGTTGGAGGATCAAGGGGAATGTTTTCTAAGGAAGAAGTTGGCCATTTGTTTTGGCTATTAAATAGATTGGTATTGTCGAAGCCTCTGTTTTTTTTTGGTGCTTGTGTGGAAAAATAAAATGGTTGGGTGGTTCTCGTTAAACACAATACGATGGTTGGGAGCATTATAACTGAACAACTCTTATTTCCTAGAAAATTTCTGAAATAGCTTTTCAATTTTTTTCTTAGACTCAGTGCATGATAGAAGATAAGGGCATAAAGCCATCATTGTCTGGATTCTTCCGTTTCATGCTATATGCATAATGATACAAAGCGTTCATGCTTTTGAGTTTTGTTGCTTTAAATCTTCGTTCTTTTTCGCCTTTTATAAAGAGTAAATGTTATTCCTTGCTTCATGCTCTTGTTTCTTCACCATGTTTTGTTTTGCTTTAAGTTATTATCGGTTAACTTTTGCATTTATCTCCTCAAGATTTGTACTTTCATAGTGAAGAATGGAAGCAAAGGAGTGATTCTATTGAATATGTTCCTTCTGCTTTTCTTTTATCTATTTGGCACATATAGGTTAAACTCGTTTTATTAAAAATTAGGGTAACTTACATATGCAGCACACAATTCTTTGTTTTACATATCTCACACTTAAACTTCCATATTTACATATAGAGCACTTTGCTGCTTTGACACTATGCATGAAAAAGTGTATTTGACTTTAAAAAAAATGCTAATAATGCTATTTTTGATGTGATATTAACGAATTGAGGGCTGTGTGTAAATGTGAAAGTATAGGTGTGAAATATGTAAATGCACAAAAACTGTGTTATGTATGTAAATGCACCTAAAAATAAAAATCAATTTATAAATCCAGTTGACCGTGCATGTGTGCCCTTGTTTCTTCACTCTTATGCTTCGATTTGCATAGTGAATTATTTTTATTTCATTTCTCCCTTTGGTCTTGACGAACAGAACTAGATCCATATTTCACATGGCAGATTTTGATCACATTTGCCACATGTGCGAACTGTTGCTTAGATCTGCTACAAAAAATTCTTGAAGTTCTACTTTATTTGACACTTATTATTTCAGGATAAGTTTAATCAGTTTATCATTATTAGTTGATTTCTGTGTATGTTACTCCATCGTTATTGATTGAGCTTATAGAAGTAGCCTTTTTGCTGAGCAGGGTGAGTTGCATGAATCAACCTCTCCACAGGTTACACAGTTTTGGGAGCTTCGTGCATTGCCTATTTTTTGGATTGTTTTTTGATGCATATGCTTTGCTAATGTTTGTAATTTTATTGCTCTAAAAATAGTTTCGTTTGAGGTAAATTTGTTTGCTTATACCTTAGGAAGCCTAAATTATAGGCTCTTTTATGATTTTAGTTTTTGATGCAAAACAAAATGACAACCATTGTTGCTATGTAACTAATCGCAAGGCTGGCCAAGTTATAGATGGTAAAATCATTTACAAACCTCATGAAATAAATGGTGATTTAGTCTTTTGTCAAGATTAGACATTCTCAATTTGTTCATAATTCTCATTAGTCAAATTACATGTTCCTTTTTTGTGGATATAGGTTCTCATGTTAAAATGCTTTTGCATTCTCATCACGTTAAAAATGAGTTAATGAGGTCATATGGTGCATCAGTAAGTTATATGGGTGTCTAACCTTGTGGTTGCGGCCAATTGGGTGATTCACTTTGATAAGAGGTTGTTTTTTAAAGGATAGAAATCTATTCATATCTTTTATAAGGGGCACAAGGCCAGTTATGACTGATATCTTTCTAAAAATAATTAATTGTGTGTGGAATAGGGATTAAAACTATGACCTCATGGTTGGGAGAAAATTGCTATATATGTGACTTGAACCCATGACCTCTTCACAACAAAGAAGTTTTGATACAATACATGTAATGGTCTAGGGTGCACTAATGCAATGCATGAGATGAGATGTACAGAAAGAAACATGCAAATGATCACAATTCATAGCATCTCAAATTTTTATTTAAGTAAAATTTAGCAACTCATAATGCAAAATTAGCTCTCTCCAAATAACAATTTAAAAGTTTCTAAAATCCAAATTTTTTCAAGAAATCTGAGAATGAATAAATCTCTTGCAACAATTTAGAATTCACGCTATAAAAGTTAACACCTCAAAAACTTAAAATGACATGTAAGTAACGTTGTCAAATCTCAATCATGCTGTTACGCAGATATGATCAATCACAAAATATTTAGATGAAAAAAAGGAATTGAAGTCACCAATTTGAAGATCTAGGTCACATATTACAAGTACGAACATGCGTTCCTTGTGATGCAGAATGATTGGGGATTTCTAATGAAATTGAGATAGAAATAACAACAACAACAACAACAAGCCTTTATCCCACCCACTAAGTGGGGTCGGCTACATGAATCCTTTTTCTCCATTATGTACTATTTAGTGTCGTATTTTTATTTAATTCTAATGGATTAAGATCATATTTTATACAATATGCCCAAGTCTTTTTAGTTGTACCTCTGCCTTTTTTAACATAAGTCAAATCTAATATATCTACTCTTCTAACCGGATCATCAGATGGTTGACATTTAAATATAATTATGATTCTCTTATTAAAGTCACAAACTACATACACTTTTTTTAGAAAAATTAAAAAATTGAGAATTTGAACTAAAAGATAACATAACAATTGATTATATTTGAAAAATAATAAAAGATTTGAACCATAGAAAATTTATGAGCTAAAAAAATTTACAAAAAAATTGAAATCTCATTTCTCATAAATTCGATCAAAATCAAGTACTTAAGCAAAAACAGTTAAAAAATATTTAGAAGAAAATAGATAACTAAAATAAAGGATATATAGGACTCACATTGTAAGGAGACTACTTTTCCCAAAATGAGGAAGTTGTATTTGTACACGTAGAAATAATCTTAAATTCATGGCCAACACCTTTTCATTTACAACCATTTAGTAATTCATGTACAATAATTTTCCATCAACAATAATCCAACAATTTGTGGATAGTAATTTTTCATTTAAAGCCATCCACCAATCAATTCATGAATTAAAGGATATTTTTCATTTGGTTTGGGATTCAAGAATTAAAGGATAGTGTTCAAATTTGTTTCTCTTTTAGATTGTTGCTTTTCTACCACTTTATATGCAACATATACATTTTTTTTAAGAACATAAACAAGGGATTAAAATTCTATCATAGATATATATATTTTTTATGTTTCTTATTTATCTTTTTGGTTTTCAAGTGTTTTGCAGTTGAAGTAATTAGAAATCCAACACGCACGCACTAGATTGAAATTAGGATTTGAAAATTTGTTGGAAAAAATGATATTTTTTACAAACCCCCCTCCCCCCTCCCCCCTCGTTATTTCCAAATCTAGAGTGAGCTGTGTTATGTCATTGCCCAACATAAGGGCAATATATTTATAAAAAAACATTTATTCCTTTGGTTATTTCCAAATCTAGAGTGAGTTGTGTTATGTCAGTGCCCAACATAAGGGCAATTTGATCTTTTGTATGCCTAAAGGCAAGTTAGTCTTTTATTATTATTATTATTGTTGGATACAAACAAGCTTATTATGTTTAGGGTGAAGGTTATGCATGAGATTATTGTGGCGAGTCTTAGGTTTAGGGTTTGGGATATATTTTCCACCTATCGATTTGTAGGAATTGGGTGAGATCACCTATCTCTTGAATTCTAGGCGCTTATATTTATGTATTCATGTGAGTTATTGATGTTATATTGCTTTGATTTGGTGTTTTAAAAATAAAATTTTTGTTTGCCCTAATTTTTATGGAAAACGTGCTGATTTTGTCGTCGGATCGTATGAAATTGATATTAAAGCTCAATGTTATGAGGTTCAAATCGACATAAGTGAAGATCGATCTACTCGATGGAAACTGAAACAAATCACGGCTTACTGAGCGACGATTTCAGAGTGCATAGTGATATGATCGCTCGATCTGACGCGCCCTAGTCCGCAAACGACGCGATCTGGGACGTTGTAGTCGGGATCGGTGTATAGAGACCTGAAACTTCCATTTTTCTTTTCCTATTTCGTGTTCTACGCGTACAATTGCGATCAAAGCGAGCTGGGAAGGCTCCGACGCTAAGGATCACGACTTATCGAGACCCAAAACTCCATCTTTTCCTTCTCGCTTCGTTGGTGTGAAGCATTAACGGTCAAAGCTATCTGGATAGGCAATGACTGGGAAGCGACACAGAGACTCCAAACTCGATCTTTCTACTTCTCTCGCGCCGACTTCGTGTACATCACAATT